TGAACTCAGTGATCCTCCTGCCTCAGGAATTCTCCCTCTCCCCCATTACAGCCATGAGCCATAGTTCCCAAGACACCTTTGTTTAGCATTTTCATGAGATTATAGAGATGAAAAGTAAGCAAAATAAGTGCAACCCAGTTCTTGTGCAAATTTACAGATGCTATGGCCTGATAAAGGGAGCGTTCGTAATGGGAGAAACTCAAAATGTACATATATACAAAGTTTCGTGTAGAAAAGTGAGGTGCTACTTAGTATGTCATTGAAGTCTACAATTCTTTCTTGCTGAGTAAAATACAAAAATATGTTTAAAATATCGAGTATGAATTGCTAGTCATGGTGCTAAGAATACCGAAATGAGCCACCTGCCCATTGGAGCCCAGGCGCTTGAGGGAAATGACACTGGATGGGAGGCTTCGAGCCAGAGCTGTTGAAATAGGTGGGGGAGGGGTGATGGGCTTGCTGTGGAAATGACTGCACATGCGGCTGGTGCAGTTTAGGAAGTGGACAAATGAACGGGCTGAGGAGGAATGGAAACATTGGAGATGTGCTGTTTTAAGATACTGCCTAGGACTAAGGTTTTCAGTCTTACGTTGAGTAGGAATATGGGATGCTGGTACCTGTCAGCTGATTGCCTTCCTAGAAATGGTCAGCAAAAGATTTCTGGGTAGTAAAGTTACTTTTTATTCTTTTATTCTTTTTTTTTTCTGTATTTAGAACAGGGTGTACAAGTTCTCACTATGTAGATAGTGCTTGTAGTGATGTTTCTGTTTTCAGCCTCCCAAGAGCTGGGATTACAGTGTGCCACCATGTCCAGGCCCAGTTTCAGTCTTCGTCTCAGCATGCTGCACAAGCAGGGCCAGCACGGCACACGGGGCATCAGACCTTGGCCGCTGCGCTCTGCCTAAGCAGGTGCCTTTAGTCTGCTGAGCTGTCAGGCTGTCCGGTTTTTTGTTTTTTTTTTTTGCGAAACTGAGGATTGAACCCAGGGCCCTGTGCTTCTCAGGCAAACGCTTATTCTACTGAGCTATCTCCCTGGCCCAAGACCATCCCTTTTTATTCATTATTAAGCACAATAGATAATTTTGGTTAGTTTTTAGCACTAACATGAGTAAGAAAAGGAGAAAAGAGAGTATGGAGATATGAAGTAGTTTTACCAAGCTGCCTAGTTTGCCCCCACTGACATCTCGGAGGTTTGGGGTAGAAGAAAAATTACATTTGCTTGGGATAGATCTAAAGGGTAAAACAGGATTGTTTTTCTTGGAGCCTCTGCAGTATTATGTGTTGTATTTCCGTAGAAACAATAGATTTTGTGAATAAAATTCACCCAGGTTACAAATAATTTTCATTTAAGGAGCATGGATCTAAGATTCTTGAAAGGATGTATGCTATGTATTTTCTCATTCCATACATTGTAATTATGTTTAACAAAAGTTACTATTATATATAGAATTTGAAGAAAATCGGGGTTATTTATATTGCTTTGTATAAGATACAATTTTTGACAAGGAAAAGGAAAATTTTGGTGAAGCAATAAAATTTTAAATATGAAAATAAATAGAGGGCACAGTGGTGTAGGCCTATTGTCCCAGCTGACACCGAGGCAGGAGAAATTCAAAAGGTCCACAAGGAAATCAGATTTGTTCTGCGTATAAATTTGGGGGTTTTTTAGTTGTGGTTTTTGTCTTTGCAACAAGGCTTGAACTGGGCATTCTCCTCAGCCTCAGTGTGGGGAGTACAGGCGTGCACCACCATGTGTGGCTGCATGTTTAAAAGAAATGTTGGAATAAAAACTTCTTTAAAGGATTGGCTAATGCGTTAAAATACCAGGGCTATAAATTTGACACCATATTAAGTGGAGAAGCAAGATGCAGAACAATAGAAGATAGGGGAGGTTTATTTTTTGTTCTTGGTGTTCGAGGACCGAACTCTGGGCTTCCAGTTTGCTAGGCAAGCATTCTACCGCTGAGCCAAATCCCGAGCCCCATGAACAATAGAAGACCCAACTAGCATTTTTAGGTGTGCCCAAGTAGGTGAAATAGTAGATTTGAAACATTTGGAGATGTCCTCTGTGATGGAATTACGTTGTGCTTTTATTTGGTTATTCCTATAGCATACACAAACTAGTAGTAGTAGTAGTAGTAGTAGTAGTAGTAGTAGTAGTAGTAGTAGTAAATAAAAGTCAAAAAATAGTGTTCCTGGCTGAAGATAAAATTCAGTGATGGAATGATTACTTAATGTGCACAAGCCCTTGGGCTTGACCGCTAGCACCATGAAATGAAAGTCCATTTAATGCGATAGCCTAGCCTCAATGTATTCAGAATTGTCTGGGTGTACTCTCCTGACACTCAGAATGAAGGAAGGAAAGGTTTATTTAGCTCACAGTTACTGGAGGTTTCAGTCCACACTCATCTGGCTCCAAGGCAGAGTGGCGCGTGGCAAAGAGCAAAGGGAGAGACAGCTCAGGCAGCTGGCTAGCCTCTTCCCCTCCCTACGTTGTAATGCAAATGATTTGCCCCAGGGCTAGGGTGTAGCACACCTGCAATCCCAGTGTTGGATCCTGACTCACAAACTTCTGAAGCCAAGGCACTCCCCCGCCCTTGGCTGCATGAGGTTTTGGGGAGATACCCATAGGCAAAGCATAACAAGCTAGATAGCTCAACAGACTAAAGCACCTGTTTAGGCAGAGTGCATCGGCCAGTGTTCGATCCCCAGGCGTGCTGTGCTGGTCCACCCCCAGGGTGGGCTGAGATGGTGATTGAGACTAGGTGCAGTGACAGGCACCTGTAATCCCAGCTTTTGGGAGGCTGAAAACAGGAGGATCACTATGAGTCCAGTCTATTCAGTGAGACCCTGTAGACCCTGTACTAGATACATAAAAGAATACATATAATAATATACAGTTGGACTAAGCCATCTAACAGTCTATATGTAGGGAGGTCTATAAAAATGCAAAACAGTATGTAAAAATGCTAGCAACACAACACTTGTAGAATACCTCTGCCTGTTAAGTATTTTGTTTTAAGGGTAAATGCTCAGAAGTAGCCCAGGCTGGCCTCACTATCCTGAGTCCCAGGAAGGCGGGTATTTGTCACCACCCAGCCTCGTGTTATTTTGAGTAACAACATTCCAGTGCTGAGCTGGTAGCTCAATAATAGAATGCTTAGCACATACAAGGCCCCAAGTTTGATTTCTAGCAACAAAAAATTCTCACAGCTCAAGAAACAAACAGGGACCAGGTGTGGCAGAGGCCAGTAATTCTAGCACTGTGGAGGGTGGAATCAGGAGGATCACAAGTTTGAACCCAATCCTGGGCAAGTTAGTGAGGCCCTGTTTCAAAACATAAGGGCTAAAGATATAGCCTAGTGCAGAGGCTCTGAGTTCAACCCCTAGTACTGCAGATAAACAGGGCTGAGGATGTAACTCGGTAGTGTAAAGTCCCACCATTCAATCCCCAGCACCTGTAAGTAAAGGGTGGCTGGGAGTGACACCCTGAGGAGACCCTAAGTTGCGTCCCCAGTAGGTTTGCTGGGGGAGTTGGGGGGGGGGGACAAGAACACCTGTAGGGAGCTCACAGTTATATCAGATGTCAATCTAAGCAAATCATTGGTGTGGTGGTGCACTCATGATGCCAGCAACTCTCAAGGCCTAGTCAGGATCTGTAAAGGAGGGAGAGGTAAGGACAGCAGAACACAAGGCTCAGTGCAAACACAATCAATGCCTGTTAAAGATTTTTTTAAAAAAAGTAGCTGGACAAGATGGTACACAACTATAATTCCAACACTATGAAGCAGAAGCAGGAAGATCACAGATTCGAACCTGTCTGGGCAATTTAGCAAGATGTAAAGAAATTTTTTCAGATGGATGTGGGATGTAACTCTTAGGTTCACTCTCCAGTTTCCCAAAAGAAGTAAAAAATACTCTCATAAAAGACTTGCACATTAAATGTTTATAACAGTTTATTTGTAATATTCAAAATCTGAGGGGGACCTCAAATGTCCATCCATTAGTAAATGAATAAATTGTAGTATATTTCTGCACTGAAATACTAAGCAACAAAGAATAGACTAAGGAGCTAGAAGTGTAACTCAGTGGCAGATTGCTTGCCTAGTATGCATGAAGCCATAGGTGGACCAAGTGATCAAAAAAAAAAAAAGTCTAAGATGGAAGTTGTGATGCTTTGTGTGGTAATGCACACCTGTAATCCCAACACTTGAGAGGCAGAGGCAGGAGGATCTCTGCTTGAGGCCAGCCTGGGCTACAAAGTGAATTCAAGCCTACCTTAGAATACACAATGAGATTCTTTCTCAAAAAACAAAACAAAACCTTTAACAAAAGGGGTTGTGGTGAGGAGTTGGGTAAGATGCTAAGAGGGCAACCTGAAATCCTTAAAGTGATAAAATCACAAGCTTTATCTTGAACATGGTGGGTACTTGAACTGATGTGAAAATCCTATAGAGAAGTGTAAGACCTACTGCAAACATACTGATTGAAAAAAGCTGAAGTGTAAGGTGACTAGACTGTCACCATCGTTACATGGATTGTGATGCTGTGTTATAGATGTGTGAGATGTTACCATTGAGGAAATCAGGAATGGTATAGGAGAGCTGTTATTTCTTACAACTACATGTGAAACTGCAATCCCAGTAAGACTTTTAATCAGAAAAAAAAAATTGGTATACATGACATAAGCAGAGTATAAACTATGATTCATATATGTAAAATTCTAGAAAATGCAAACTAGTCAATAGAGCCAGCACAGAAGTGTGGTTGCTGCAGTGAGGTCAGGAGGGTTACAGAAGGTAAGGGGCACAGTTTTATTTTATTTATTTATTTATTTATTTATTTATTTATTTATTTGCAGAACCAGGGATTGAACTCAGGTCCTTG